GCGCACCCGGGATCGCTGATGTACACCATTGAAATCAACACGAAGCTGCTGAGCCTTCACTCGTAACGTGGTCACTATGGTAATTCCTTCTGCCGTCTCCTTGAGCTCGTGTGCATTCAGGACATCATATTTGCTCAGACACAACACACAAGGGGTCTGAGTCATCGAGTAAACAGCCGTGTCGTCATGGTGTCTATCTACAATCCGACTTCTGTACTGGAATCGCCCGATAATAAATCATCTTGATTTCACAGCCGATTGGGAACGTCTAGATAACTCATCTGACCTTTAGCGTTTGATCCTGGTATTCTATTGCTGATTTTAAAAAAAATGACCACCTTTCGTTGCTGATCATCACCCATTTCGATCTCAACGTCTTCCTGACATAGTTTTCGCCTATAACTTGACGTTTTTTTTTAAATTTGATGTGCGTCTGCCCATGACATGCGGGAATGTCATATTAATTTCACACTCGTGATGTAAAAGAAATTGACATAAAATAACCTATTTCCAGCCAGAAACACATGTTTTAACGTCAGTTCGGTGTGTGCAGACATAACTTTTCGTTCATTTTCGTCAGATGTTTTTCTATCACGTAAAGTTCTCGTTTCTGAAGGTAATTTTTTTCACAAATCCGTGTTTTCTTGTTTAAATCGCTTCACATCCTAGTGATTGCATGCACTAAGCTACACTCTAGTTGATTTCGTTCCTATCACATGTCACCGTCTAGACTGGGTTGTGGACGGAATTCACAACACGATTTCATGGAAATCGGGTTTTTAAGCACCTGTACACTTTCTTTTTAAGTAGTGGAATGAGCGTAAAGTGTGTACAACACCGGAAATTCGTAATCTTCTGCCTTTTCATTAAATTCAATCCAAAATTTGCGTTTACACGTTGAATAGATGCTACCTTGTGCTCGACAAATGCATATACGAATTTATTTTGGCACACTGTCGAATGTCGCCTCTATTTCGAAACCTCTCAAACCGACGTGAAAATGTGGATGATAAATAACGTTTTATTCGAATTGAGGATCACTTGTGATTTGAGCGCAGACCGATTAAACCAAGCTTGTCATTTTAACACAATGCACACCTCCTTGTCTCTCGTGCAGATTTTCACCCGTTTGTAGTTTAAGTCAACACAGTTTTACTGATTTCGTCATTATTTCATGGATGGATCGATATTGACACTAAGTAACCGGAGGGAGTATCAATCTTGGTGAGATTATATGGTTGGTCTTTTTTTCAAGGACATCTCAGAGTGACAGAAAACCAGGCTTTTGGGGGATAAATCATGAATCTTCGGCAAAACTGAAGCGAGGATTTGTATAAGCTCCTTTTTTTTCTGTGCGCCAGACATCAACGAGGCATCTGCAACAACAGATCTCGCAGATGAAGCGCGAAGCCTCCTCAACCGGCCTCCTCAACCACATCAACCGCGGTCGGGTTCACGGCTCTCCGCTTCCTCACACCCCCTGCGCTGCTCCCCACCCCATCGACAAGGAAATCCTGTCTCCCCTAGCCGGAATCTCCAGTTCCACTAGCTTCAACACCTCACTCCAGGGCCACCAGCAAGGCGCCATGTCGAGAAACGGTAACCGGAACTTTAAGTAAGTTGCCGTCTACCCGTGACCGCCCAGGTTGGCATAACAAGCGCACTTTCACTTGATTGGCAATTTCAGACGACGCACCCAGTTGTCTCAGTCTGTGTATCTGAGTTTTGGCGAAGCACCGGCCCAATCTCAGCCCCGACTTGGCCGACCAATCGGCGAGCAGCACTCTTCGCGGTTCGCTAAATCGGCGGATTTTCAAAGTCACAATTCGGTGTTCAAAGGGGAGCACCAGGCCTTCCAAGGTGGAGAACTGAAAAAGCACGGTAATTTTTTAGGTTTTATGACGGTAATTAATGACAATGCTTAGTTGTTAATGTGTAAGCGTGGGACATTGGAAAGACAAGTCATTGCCTTTGAGGGGACTAGTTTGGTTACCAGTCGCACCCACATGAACACACAGGCTTTCACCTTCTGATTGGCTGCCCATGTTTTGCACACGTGTGAACACGCAGATTTAGCCATGGGTATGCTGGATGGTGTGTAACCCCTCTGCTTTTACAACAATTCAAGAAGCTGGCCTCTACATTCCATCTTCGAAGCTGTTTCCCCTTTCTTGACTCCTGGAACTCGCCTATCATTTAACGTCATTTAATACTACTGAACGCTAAACATCCGTGGACTAGAATTTAGCTACTGAAACGTAAGTAGTAAGTGGTCTGGGCTGTGCTAAAATTATGATTCACTTAGAGTGATAAAATCCCATGAAAACGGTCTTCTGTTTACACGTCCTTCATCCTTCTTCAAGAACTATAAAAATACAATATACAATCCAGGCGTGTTGTTTTGCAGGCTCGAACGCGCTGTTGCAGTGGTTTAAACAGCGAGTTCGTAAACTTCGAAACAGCCTGCGTCGAAGCCTCGCGCGCGATGATTGGCCAACACAGTCCATGCCGGCATTCCCAATGTGCTACCAGAACACAAGCACCAGCGCAGTCACACCGACGCTCCACGAGCACAAACGCCGGCCGTCGTGGCATCCGAAGGCCCATCAGAGCAGAAGCCGAACTGTCACCGCTCGGGGCTCCACAGGCGACGTCTACCCCCTCCACTCGGGTCCGGCGCAGGTCGACTACGACCACCGCAGCACCGTGTCGAACCTTCGTCGATGCTTGAGTCTGGCTGAGAACCAGAACCGTGATGGTTATGTTGGAGGTGGGAATATGGCTCCGTTCTCCATGGAGGTGATTCCAGAGAGCGAGCTTCAAGCGAGCTCCCAGAATCTGGGGCCTTCGCCGTACCTACGACGGGATTCCACCATGGAGCACATCTTTAGCTGGCAGCAGGGTGCAGCATCTCTCCTGTCCCTTAACATAACTCCGAACGGAGCCGACAGGAGTTCCATATCGGGCCCGCGACAGATGTTTCAGGCACCGTCTTTCCCTGAGTCCTCTGATCTGCAGTCGAATGGGGCTTTTTTTGAAACCCGAAATGAGCCCCTCTCGACCAATTACATGGCGCGAAGCGGACGAGATTCTGGATTTATTGACATACCTTGTCATCAGAACTTTGCTCAGGTTGACTCTTCCGCGTACTCGGTGATCCACTCGCGTCAGCTTTCCGAACCACGAACTCACGAGGTCTCCGATGTAAAGGAGATCACCGATGCCTTTGAGGGACTTGCGTCGCATGCCCGTGAAGGTCCAGGTCCGTTGGCATTTACTCCACCACCTCCGCCACATGCCTCCTCATCCCCTCTTCCGGAAATCAGCGTTAACGATTGGTGGGACCCAGGTTTCAGCCATAACCAATAGAAGTAGTCCATTAAATGGGCAAAGCCAGCCAATGGGGGCACAGATTGTTGATTTTGAGTTTCCACCAGGGTGAGATGCGTGCTTGACCGCTTTCATTCAGAACAAATATCCAAAAGTGCCTCCTTTTCCCCTTCCTATCCCCGTTCTGATGTGAGCTTGCCTCATTGTAATGACTAGGTTTCTAAACCTTCTTCTGGAGATGGCGCGTTTTAGTGCCTCAGAATTTTTGAAACCTCGTATATAAAAGTCTACTTATTATCAGGCTAGTAATATCGCTTGTGAGGAATCAAATATATGTATTATTCCTTTTGCATGTTGACTTGTATAGTCCGATTACGCTACACAGATACCCGAAAAGACTAAGGCAGCAGATGGCGGAGACAAGCGTTCTCTGGATGTCTCAGCTTAGCTATGATGTTGTCTCGAGCTCGAATTCAAAGCCGTGTTTAACTAATAAAGCAGCAATCGTATAAAATTTGTGTAAACTAGTAAAAGTACACATAACTGAGTGACCTTATTAGCAAACAGAGCAGGGGACAGATAAATACACAGGGGTGAATGAGCAGGCGGTCCCACATGGCTGATTGGCACGCCGTTAAATGGGGTAACAGTGTGTCGAAGTGGGAGTTCGTGGAGTAGATGGACATGAATTGACAAGTACCACCACTCATGCAGTTCAACTGGTTTTTGAGAGGTCTAGTAATTGAAAAAAAATTGAAAATCTTATTAGTAATAGTCTAAAGCTCAAAATATGAAAAAAATTCACTAGTATGGGGAAATGGCTGCTACCACTTATTTAAATAAACTAAGGTAAAAGTTAAAAAAACCAAATGTTGGTATACCTCTCAGTTAAAAAGCTATTTTTTTGGGCTTAATAAATATAAATTACTTCATTCAGGTTTTGTCTAAAAATGTGGTTGGAAAATGCCATTTTGTGTTTGTGATGAAGCAGAACCTTCGAGACTTTCTCGAATATTTTCCAATTTTTTTAGCATGGATGCATACTCGATCCCTCTAATAATCTACGTTTTTTAATGGCTTTTATAAAAAGTGCAGACTTGCAACTATGTAAATAAATAGTTCACATTGAAAAGCAGTAGAATAAACGATGATGTAAAATTTTAAAGACAAAAAATCAACCATTAAAAAAATATGAACAGGGCAAATTCCGCCGATAAAAGATCAAACAGCATGCACAATTCCAAGTGTGAAATAAAAATATATTATTTCCGTTAACCACAAAACGGTAATTTAGATTTTTACAATTTATGCTGATGCAAAGAGTGTAGAGCTAGGTATTGTCATAGCTTCAGTTAATGAATAGGTTTAGTCGGAGTACATGAGCTTCAAAAGAAATGGATCAAATTAGGCACCGATCTCCTGTTGACTGATTTTGATAACTAGAAAGAAGCATTAGTTTTGATTTCGCATTTTTGCAAGAATAATTTTGATCTTTTTATAATAGGATACGAAACGCACAAGAATTTAATATGATTATTTAAACGAATAAAGCAATGATGTTAATTAACAAAAAAATATTCGTTCATCTATATTGAGCAATTGTTTCTTGACAGACCTTCCTCTTAGTTTTCTTTGGGTTTTTTTTCGTTACAAATAATAAGGGCTAAGTAATAGCTACAGGCTTTAGGCAAGAGGCTTTTGCTAACACACTTAGACCATACATCAGATTTGACAAATTTGTTTTACCATTCCCCAGCCTTGAAAAACTGTTAGAATTCTCAAGGTGACTCTGAGTGGGATCTTTGTAGTTTGGCTAATGAAATATTTTGTGAAATTAGGAGTAATAGACGATAAAAGCAGAATTTCTATCTACTAATACACAATTTTTAGTGCTTGGGCTCTATGCTTTCACCCATTTTCGTAGTTTGATGTTACGCGGACTTTTTTGGCAAGATCAGTGCATGCCTTTCGATGAATCTGCTGCTTTTTAAGCCAGTATTAATTTTCCAAAGCCTCTTTTAGACAATTTTATAAAGGTCTGTTCAAAGAGCGTTGCAGTTTTACAACTCTCTTAAGCAATTATTTTCTAAATTCATCATGTATGCATGAAACCGACCGATTTTTTATCACATTCTGGATTGGTCTTTAAATTTGAAATCATTTTAGTTATTAATTCTTTTTTTGGATTAACGGAACTTAATGAATGAACGATGTCTATGATGTAGGTGTGCTTGTAGAAGTAATACCGAGAATTCTCCGGCACTACTTTAATTTATTTAGTTACATTTATATCTTGATTTTCAAATCACTGCCTTGGTATTGTTTCGCATACGTTGGCCTCATTCTAGCACTTATTTGTCATGAATATTTACGAAGTGTGCAACTCTAAAGGAATTGTAATATGAAACAAGCGGCCGACTAGAATAACCACTCAAAATGCGGTTCCCAGTAGCCTCTTTTGTCTCTTCTACTGCGATGGCGTGGTTTTGAAAATATATTTAAATTTTTCCAGTGCTGTGAACCCACCAAACTTTTTTCAAAACCCATAATGTGATTCAAGTTTATGATTTTTATTATTATTCTGGGCATAGTGAATGTTTTAGTAAGTGCTTCCAAGTTCTTATCCTCCTTTCGTTTGTAGGTCTTTTCCATGACTTCCGAATCCCCTTTTCCCAGACGGCCTCCACCTAGGCCACCCAAACCTCAACATCTTTTTAAAACAGAGGCAGTGATGTCGTCACCAAAGCAACCTATGTCTCGAGTCTCGCCTGTGCCCTACCCGAAAGGCAAAAATCCTTTTGGAGAAAGCTCTGACGAGGAACCTGACACCTATGATGGTAAAGACACCCTCCCCACAGTCGGTACCAACCCGTTTGGTGTGGACGATTCAGAGAAGGAGGAAGATGAGTCTGAGCACAGGGAAAAACAGCCAGTGGTTCAGCAGTATGATATTGAAAAACCCCTCTGTGTTCCCTCAGTTAAAACACAACCCGATACAAACCCTTTTAATGATGTGACTGACGAGGATATGTCCAATGGGTCCACTCCTTCCCACCATGGTTTCGTTCTGAGAGCCAATGATGCGCAGGTACCGAAACCTGTACGGAAGCGCACAGCGCCCAAACCCCCCAACCTACAGGCCAACAGCAGCCTGCCAAGCACCCCCATGCTTCCCTCCTCTGCTATGCGTCTCTCCCTACAGTCCGTAAACACAACCACCTTCAGTTCCTCGCCTTTTCCTTGTCGAAAACTCTCCAGTTCCTGTGAAAATGTCCGCGTTAAGGGCCCGGCTCCACCTCTCCCGGTTGGTGAAAAACGCGAAATACGAGCCGGTGGCTTCATCAAGTACTCCAAGCTGAGGCGCGAGCTGGAGGACACGAACTCGCGCCTGAGTCAACTGGATGCCGAAGTGGAGGAGGTGGAAGTCAAGCTAAAAACAGGCAAGCTGTTTTCTTTTTGTGTCAACCAATGATAAGCCTCGTAGCTTGAAGTAGTCTGTGATGTTGCTCGTCCCCCACCACCTACACCACATGCTCCTTTAGGCCCTCTTCTTGTCCGTAAATGGATAGGCCAGAAGGACAAATAAGACAATTCACTATTTCCTAGCCTTATAGGGCTGAGCTAGGTTTAGGGATTTGTGATAAATTCATTTTTTTGCTAGTTTTGGTTTTTGAGTAGATTAAAATGCCCTTCTGGCGTAGATGACAATTCCGCTTGTGTCTAATGATTCGAAACATGTCTTTTCTCTATCTTCAGCCGAAGATAATCCAGCAAAACACAAAAAGTACGCCAAAAGGCTAACCAAGTTGGCGGAAAAACGTGACGCGGTGGCCGAAAAACACAGACTCCTCAGTAATCGGTATGCTGTCTTGCTGAACTGTCAGAATTTGTGACTTTTCTGGTTGGTGAGTTAGCAAAGCTTGTAGCTTCGCAGCAACCGATTTAAGCTAGTTCTGGTGTTTGTAATTTCCACACTAACTAACTGAGTGAAATATGCAAATCGGATCAACTGACTATGACCTAGTTTCTCGTGAGTTTCAGCGTCGACCGAGATATTTAACCCTGAAATAAGCTCACAGCCGTCTTTGCTTTTGGTCTAAATTTTCCATCCGTCGTTTAATTCAGTGCTAACGTGCCTTGTGTTTGGATAATTAATGTCGAACGCTTGCAGGTGTAATGCGTTGTGGAGAAATTTGGGGATTATTGAAACTACCGCCTCGACAAGACATCGCTACAAACGACGTCTGTGGCGATGAAGAGTTGGAAATAACTTTCCCGTCATCAACTCTGGATTGGTGTTCACGCCGATGCGAAATTGTGGTTTTCCACTGTCCACCATGGTTGGAGATTAACGTGATTGGCTAATAGATTGGCGCCAGACTCAAATTAAAAGCAAATTTCACTGGCTAACGTACGCTTGTTTGGGTGTTTGTGTTTTACACAGTACCATCATTGAAGCCAAGTTTTTAAAAACAGTAATGTTTTTAACGTTAAACTGCAATAAAATTGTTAACATAGTTTGCGTGGTTTCATAAGTGCCGAGAAACGCCGCAAGATTATTTGAAGCAAATCTTCAAAGAATCATGTGACACCACCCTTTGTAGTCAGTACCCATGGCAATCGAAGTCGGTGGGTAGTTGTTGATGGTTTTGTTACCACAGTTAATGGTAGTAACATGACCCTTACCAAATCCCCTGTTTTTCTGGAGTTCGGATTATCCGCCGAAGTGAGCGATTTCTTTATTCCGCTGTCCGCACAGTTATGTGCTATTAGCAGTTCAGACACACGAGTGATATACTATCCCATTTTTTAGGCTCCAGGCACAGATGCTTGAGGAGCAGCACGCAGATTTGGAATATGAGCTACGAACGATTCTGGCCAAACAAGGTAAGCATTCGCACGGGCGCCAATTTCAAAATAGCCTCCTTGCACTTTCATTGGCTCCTCAGTAGTCATGGAAGTGATTTGAACTGGTGATCTAGTGCGTAGAAGTAGACGAATGTCCCACTAGTGGGAAAATCAATATGCTGATCAGTTCAAACAAACAAATTCAACGTTGATTGGACAGTTTGAAGAGGCGGTCAGTTCAAAATGAAGCGCTTTCAACCAATTAAACAGAATGACTCAATTTCAAGTGTCGTTCCTGATGTTCAGTTTATTTTAAAACTACCTTTTTTTGTCAAAACAAGCCTCTATGAAAGAGTTTATCGGGTGATAACGCCTGTCCTATGCAAGCCGGTGAATAATACCGTGTGCTGCAGTAAATGTCATCAGTTGAATAGATTTATGCGGACGTGATAGCGCATGTGTGTGTGTGTGTGGGCGTATTAATCTAATGTCAAGCGGCATCTCATTAACCTACCCATGCTAGTTGCTGGCTGTAGATTTTACGCTTCACGTTGACTCAGCCACACCTGAAACCTGGGCCAATGTTAGTTATTTAAATGACAAAATAGAGGTTTCTAGTCTCCTCAGTAATGGGATACTTGGTAGATAGTGACATGACCCGACCCTATTGGTGGTTGTAAAGGAGATGAGAGGGGTTCTGTATTTACCTCTACCCTCGCGCAAACTTGTAATCTTCTGGACCCAACATATAACATCCTTGTCGCTGGAATTGTCTAATTTTAGGAGTGTCACATTACTATTAAGCAACGAAATTGGTCATCTAGTCAACTCTATGTCTGACCGCTTTCTCAAACATGCTACTTAATGTTAGGGTGCTTATAAGTAGTATCGTGCAATTCTTGTATCAAACTTGCCTTTCTGTCCAAATCTCTTTTTGCACCCCCTATCGACCTTGACCTGCATTGTAGGTGGATAACGGATTCAAAAGTGGGTGAACCAATAAGATAGCGGCGGTCGATACGAATACACAGAATGGTGTGCATCAACACAACGTAGTAGTGGGTAGTTAAAATGCTTCTAGTGTTCGCGCTGTGTAATAGTGGCGTTAGTCACTGAAACAGCCAGCATGTATACGTGCGTAATTTTGGGTTTTAGACGTGTGTGCGTGTGTTTTCGTAGATGCAGTCACTTGTTGTCTGTACGCCATCGGTCATGCGTAATCATCTGTGAAAATACCGCAGCATCCGAGCAGTTATTGCAAAACGGCTACTTGGTTGGATGTGAAACACTTTCTACGATTGCTGCAGCTTCGGGAGACTGCCAGACTCTTTTCTGTTCAAATTGACAACTCGAAATGTTCTTCTTTCAAAAATCTTTATGAAAGTTCATGAGATGAATTAAAGTAATGTAAAACCGCCGTCGTAATCCCAGGAAAACGGCTAGAATCGGCAAATCGCAAAGGAGTTCCAAGGTAGTGCTACGTGGTTGAGAAGCGGCCCAGCTAGTAAGGGAGGTTTTGAGAACGATAAACCTTGGAAACTGTGTCTTCAAAATCCACTAAATTGCTACTACTCATTATTGGTTAAAAATCAACCCACCACGGTGGGGTAACTGGCAATCCCCACAGGGCAATAATTTCTCACGCGTCACCTAGACTGGAAGCGACTCGTATGCCTCGAATCAATGGTAGATTACGCTGTTTCAGATATACTGCATATCTGATTAGCTTGGTGTCCGTGCCAACTGATGATTTGCACATGGCATTACCATGCGAGGAATTATTTTGGCGTCTACTTGCTATCAACCCAACCCAGTAGCTTCATCATACCACCTAGTATCATCATCATCACCTTGGGCTTCAGAGCGGTTTGCCGTGAAATTCCTTGTCGTGTTCTTGCACGCACTTTCTTTTGTGGCGAGGGAGCGGTGAGATATCTTTCCTAGCGTGTGATGCACTTTTGTGTCAGTGACCTTGACCCCACGAAGATTTTGGACTTGTTCTGGTGGAAATATTCCATCTACATTGGCAGGCCCTCCGTAGGCGACCAATCAGCGGCCTCATCCATCAAAGCGACTAACGATATTGCTAATATAGACCGAAGAAGATACTGCAAGAATTCGATAATTTTTTATCAACGTTCCCGTTATTGATTATTTTCAGAGCATCTACGAACGCCGGAGGAGAAAGCAAGGGAAGAGGAGTTGCTAAGGCAGTTAGTCGAAGTGGTCGCGGAACGGGACAAACTCGTTGAAGACCTCACGCCCCCGGCTATGTGAGTACTTGCCGTAGCGCTCGGCCCATTGGCCCACTTAATTAGCCAATCAGATTTCGGTTCTGTGTGGTTGTTGGTGCTATCTCAAGCCTGGTCCACCTCGATAGTTTCTGCGTTCCCTTGGAGCGTCTGAAGTGGCTAAAACTGTCTACTAATTAACTCTTTAGCCTAAAGTTTCCCTCGGTTTTCACGTTGCTATTCATTTCACTTATACCATCAGAGAATTAGTAGAGTTCCAGTAGAATATTCAGGTCATGTTCAATGTCATATCAGTTACTCAAGAGACTAATTTGATTGGCTGATTGTAAAAGTTCGCCCCAGATTCTCGTAGATGGCACAAAGATGCACTTTTAACTGTGCGGATGGTCCATTATTTATCATTTAAAAATAAGTTCTATGCAGGGTAGAAAACGCGAGACCACAATTTCTTAAACAGTGAAATAGTTCTCGGACGACAACGAAAAGTAACCAAGCCGTTTATTTGGATCGTAAATTCAGTCGAAACAGTAAACGTTTCTCTGGTCGACTAACGGGCATTGGTAATGACTTTATGTGTGCCATAGTAACCATCTGTTGACGATCTGACTTTATTTCGCCATTTAAGGCAATTTGGATACGCTTGGAAACTCGATATTTTGGTTTTCACTAGTTTTGACAGAACGGAACACACAGAACCCGGTTTCTACAGTCCTTTTTCTGCTTGGCCGTCAGCAAAACCGACAGTTTCTGAAACAAGTAACAACTGGAGATGAAAGATGGTTTGCGTGTAACAGCGTACCAATCAAACGAAGCTGGAGTCATGGAAAAAAATCGATGACAAATGGTATATTTGTGCATCCAATCAAATTTGTGTTAAGCGCCTATTAGTGAAATTTAAAAAAAAGTAATTTTTTGGCTGCGGCTCAAAGAACTTAACTCAATTATGAAATTTAAGGTAAATGTGCTAAATTTGGTCGGATGAAGAGTCATCTTCCTTCTATATGAGAATGCCAGACCACTAGTCGTCTTGTCCTGACCTTGCCGCTTCTCTCGTTCTCATTGCTTCTGTTTAAGAGGTTAAAAGAGGGCTTTAGTAAACTTAAACAACACTAAGACAGAGTAAAGGGAAATTGTGGAGAGCACATTATTGATTACAGCTTCAGATCGGTTCCACTTTTGCAATCACCCAAGATACGAGACAAAGTCTGGATTCGCAGCCAGACTACTGGTGACCAGTTGTTGAAAACTACAAGATAACTACTGACTAATTGACTAGGAAGTGATTTCGGTTGTCGCAAATCCCCTGAGCACTACAAAACAAGTATTTTGTGACGATTCTGTTGAGGCTCACAGCGAGAGGTTTGAAGGGCACAATTTGAAACATCTAACAAAGAGCGTGCGCCAGAAATGCTGAAAGGAGGCTGGCTTGCGACACGGTTCAATTAGCGTTGACCTACTGTAGTTGTTTATGGACGCGGTAGAATGAATTTCAGTCACGGAATAAAAAGACAGGCACGATCAATGGGGCGTGTTATCTGGATCGCGGACATTCGCTTAACCACGAAAAGTTTGTAGTGACTAGAGGATTTAGCACTACCCTACAACCCTCTAGTTAACAGCCCATAGCTACCCGAGGATAGGAAAAAGGAGGCGACAGAGAACACGACCGTTTATTAGAGTCGAACCAACCAAGTGGCTTTGTGTGCGTATGAGCATGCGTGCGTAACAGGCGAATGCTGACAGAGGCCAATAACAAAAGGGGTGAGCCATTGGTCCACTCGGGCCCTCATGCACGCACACTCACGCGAGGTGGCTGTCAGTCCACTACAAGTCCTTCTTCTTCGAGAGGTGCACACCGAACGCACCTAGTTTATGACTCTACCGAAACGATCATTGCGGGCTCAGTGTTCACCCCAAGCAACCTTTTGCTACTCAAAACCGAACGGTCTTGTAACCAAGTAAACGGTTTGGTAGGCTTCTTTGTGTCGTGATTTTACCACCTCCACAAGCCATTCATTTGTGAAGGGCTACATCTGTGTTTCATAGCGTAACAACTCAGCACGTCGACTAATGTACTCTAACACATCATGTTTTCGAGACGACAAATAACTCGATGGTTCCTGAGAACCAATAGTTTACCACCTTAGAATTCATCCCTTCCTTGATTACAGCAGCTGGGAGTTGCTGGGGTTCTTCTGGCGTCCCTAGAATTGGCAATTTGCCTTCAAACTACTGCCGGCATCCCATTGGCTCAACAGCAGAGCTCATGTGCTTAGCTTTACCACTTTCCAGACGTTTCGTCAGTTGAAGTTGTCTTTCCTTCGTCGAAGGCGCTAATATAATCCAGGCATTTGACTCAGCAATCGTGTGATTTAACAAAGTGACTATCAAAATCAGCTTTGTGGGGTTGGATTGCGTCTTGTTCAGTGTTTTTAGCAAGAACTACAGTAACTGTCAGTTTCCTTTGGCTCGTCCCACTTGGCGTGACTCACTGCCTGACGATTTTATGGTTTCCAAACAGAAATTCCTGTTATGCTTCACTGTCCTGATGCTGCTGCTGCCACTGACCCCTTCGAAACAACATATTCGATCAATTAATTAACCCTATCAGGCACAAATCCACATCAGTTAGCAGCCAATCTCACGTGATCGATGGGTTGATTTGTTGACTTGACCATGACCTTGTACACTAGCTACTACCAATAGCCAATCAGAGGAAGCAATTATTAGCCAATCACCTTTCTACATTGAAAACGCGTGGAAACTACCGTAGGTAACCCCTCTTTCGAACTACTTACATTGTTATCAAAGTAATGTCGTTTGTCACAAATCGATAATGCTGTAATTCTGTGACTTCGGATGCAAGGCACGTACTAATTTCGCTCACAGCTGTTGTTTCAAGGTCACAATCGGCAATGGTTGTGAAGACCTTTTTCTGCTTAATGTACTTTCGCATTTCTATCTTCGTGCTGGTTATTCAACAAAGTACGGGTGTAAGAATTGTTTCATAAACAATGATCTTAAAATCCATTCAAAGTTCACCGGTGTTCCAGTTAATCGGGTCGAACTGATTGCGACCGTTGTGGTGTTGACTGTATCTCTCGTGCGCAGAATTAAAACAATTTCGCCCGGCACAACCAATCAGTGTTTGTCGGATGCATCCCACCACAACTACGGCAGTCGAAGACGACTGTGGTCGAAGTTCAAGGTACGTGGAATTACGACGGTGCCGGGAAGGTAGTTTGTGCAATGCCAGTGGCTGGTGTTCCCCGCGTAGGCTCCAACATTCTTGACCTGGCAAGCTAGATACTACTGTTTTATCGCAAGTATTATGCTGGTGCTTTTATCATTTTTGCAGACCTGCACGCCCTGTCACTGAAGTTGCAACTCACCTCTCTTGCGGTAAGTTTGCATGTCTCATTTCTACAAACCGTGAACCCGCCGTTAACTCTTCTACTACAGATACCACTTCCAATACCGCGTTGTGTCGGCCGAATTGACTGTGTTGTCTTAGCATGATTTGTTTGACCAATGAGGGTTGTTGATCAGCACAATTTAGGTGAAGGTCAAAGAACGCAACCTTTGTGAGGAACGGCGTGGAGGTTTGATGTTCTACCGAAGCTCGTGGAAGGTCTAGCGTGTTCGAGGGCGGATTCACCAGTTGTAGAAGCCTTGACGTGAGTTGGTTAGACGACGCAGCTGGTCGGCGAAGGTTTACAAGACAACAGTCAGTTCCATGCACCACTCCTCGATTCTGATTGGTTAAATTACAGGAGAAGTGAAAACCGCTTACGCTGTTGAACCACACTGGTGCAGCTGAGTAATTGACTCGATAAAGATGACAGAGACAACCAATCATAAGATGGCTCAATCTACTTGTGTTGTTTATCTGCGTGTTCAAGGTCGTGCATAACAATTGAAGGTCGCTGACCAGGTCGGTTTGGTTGAACTTGTAGAAGTGGATTCACTACGAAGCTTCTATCGTCTCTGCTTCCATGGCAACAATGAACACAATCGGGCTTTCAAGAAACGTAGTGGTTGACGGAGCACTAAACTCCCAATTTCATTGGTTCGTAATCCGCCATAACCCAATCGCCAATTACCTGCATTCCCTGAACGCGCCATCGACCTAATGACACCATCTTGTCCGCACACAATGAAACAAGCTACAAATCAACCACAGTACAGTGCGGTGTTCGGCTTTATTTACTATTGATAAACCGATGAAATTAGAATCGGTTCACGAGAGCAGCGTTTGTTGATGCGTGCAAACTCTCGTTGACCCACCCTTCACCGTCCAGGGTGTTTTTGTGAGCTTTTGGCACTAAGTACTCATATTCTATTCTCCTTTTTTTCCCCCACAGAACAACCATCTGACGTGATCAGGACCGACTGAAAATGGGCGCGTCGTGTAGGACGCACAGGTCACTTGTGCTCTGAGGCAAATCATCCAATCACTTTAGTTGCTTTTGTTTTTTTCTCGCAAACTCCATCATTGCGCCTCGCTCCACCCCGTGCTCTGTACAGTGCTCTCTTCTTTTATCAAATGCAATAAACATTTTCAGTTACTGAGATACTTATAAGTAGTGTTTTTATACTAAAATTGGAACCCATGGTGGCTTATGGCTGAAGTTGGGATCGATCGATTTCTTGTCTTTCCGCTGGGCCTTCACGAGTCAACTATTGAGGTCTTGCGTGATGTCGTGTTTACACAATCTTCAAGCGCGATCGAAGCGATCACTACGCAACCGACCCTTATAACGCTTAAGCCCCCTTAAAAAACATCGGTGTAGTTATTCTGCGGAAATTTTCAACATGCTAGTGCGGTGGGGTCGAAAGATATATTTTTGGGGAAACTGGGTGAGTAACGGATCTTGTCCTCGCAAAAACTGAACTATTTATAGTGAATTTTTGGTTGCTACTATGTATTTATAAGTAGTAACTGTACAATACCATTAAGATGTAGCACGTATGCACCTTGCCTGCGGGCTACAGCCATGCAAGACGTAATTTGCATAGCACAGACGCAGCGCCCAGATTCAGCTAGTTGTTATTACCGAGCAGACTACACAGAAGTACACAAGATTAACATACGACCTCGTAAGACACTCCTGATTGGACGAGAAGTCCGTGCAAATAATCCCCTCGCCCCCCCGACCACAGCAAGTCTTGTCTGATCACGAAAGTCAACTGAACTCTCTTAGCAGGGGAGTAAAAACAACAACAGTTAAAGCACCAGAGCGGAGTTGAAAGAAAAAGCAAATGTAAGCCAAAGAAAGCTAAGAGGAGGAGGAGGAGGAGCAACAATGCAAACGAGAAAAATTTTCGGTCTATATTACAGTTGCTGCGCCTCGCTGACCGGTGCCGGTTGCTCGGACATCGATTTTTGTGCGACCAAGTGTCGGTGCTCGATGCTGATAGGCTGATGCCCGGCGTCCTTGGAACAGCCAATCGGATTGCAGAATTGAGGAGGCCCTAAGGTGCCTCTCCCGTGGCGCGAGGCACACGGGAGGGCAGCCGATGGGGCGTGTTGGTGGGTCCGCGAGGCCGTCATTTCGGGTGGCATAGGGTGCGGTGGTGCGACTGCAACATCTGCTGTCAACGAAAACAAAAAAACCACACCTGCTAGGAAACCGTGGGAGTGCAGACGATGTTGCCACTTAAAATCGTTGGTTACTTAAAGTCACTAAGTTTGACACGGCATTGACCGGACCGAAGTATTGCCTCGTGCGAGCTATCGATCGCCTTGGGGGCGGTTCTCGTCTACAACCACATCCAGCTCGAGTCTGGCGGAAAGAAAAAAAAAGAGGAGAATCACTGACCATCTCCATGTTTGGCCTCGGCGGTGGGAGTGGGTGTGGGTGATGCCGGATCTGCGGCCTCGGGTTCCAGCGACGTTCGCGGCGGCGGCGGCGGCGGCGGCGGTGGTGAGTGCGGAGCGGAGGCGGCGGTGGTGGTGGTGTGCTCGTAGAGCCACGGAAACTCCACACACGGCGGCATAGGAGCGGAGTCGCCGAGGCAGGTGCAGGGCTCACGACCGCGCCATCGGCAGTCGTAGGCGATGAGGTCGTCGAGGGCGCGACCGTCGGGCGGAATGTTGAAACGCGCCTGCAGGTACGCTGGCCACGGCACGTTGTGCTACAAGGCAACCTCCACGCTCAAACTAATGCCCCAGACCACGAGTGCGATGGTAACGAAATTAGCGACGACATGAGGGAGAGAGAGAGGGAAAGAAAGAGTACACGAAGCAATCCCCAGGCTCAACGCCTCTTGCCTGTCTTACAGAGACACGCAACGTCAGCACCAAGACCATCACACATTGATTCCCCCGTGAATTAAAAGCGGAGATATTTATACACTAAACACAACCTTAAGCCCAAAATAAGAATCTATACAATACTAACACCGCAACAGCGGCAACGTTCGGAAAACACAAAAAGGACGGGATATTTGCGGAAAGAGGTGGTGGACCCGGCGTGGTTCAAGACCACATGCTGGGGCCCACATTACGGGGGTTGATATTACTAGCAGGAAACGGCCAATCGTAACGCAGGTGGTTGTAGTGTGACAAGCACGTGAAGCGGATCCAGTTAACCACAACCGACCTGCAAATGAAGATCGAAGAGGTCCTCAGGGCTGATCTTGGCCTCGCGAGCGAGGCTCTCCCTGCAGTGGTAGCACGGGGAGGTGAGGTAGTTGGGCAGGTCGAGGCGGTGGAGGTAGTCGTGACGATCACAGAACGCGCAGGTGGCGTTTTCCGGCGCCAGGGAACCCACGTCGAGCATCTCCACGAAGGCCTGGTCGTGGAGGGGAGGCGGCTGGGTCTGGGAGTTGTGGGCCCTCGAGGGATCCGAGCTGGACGTCTGGACGGACGTGGAGGAGGCGACCATCGCGGGTGGAACACTGGTCGCGGGTTGGGACTCGCAGTTAACACGACCGGGCTGATCGGTGGCATCTAGCAAACAAGGCAACAGCGAATGTCGGCGAGAATTGCAACAAGTAAAGGAATTCAGAGAAATAATCTCGAACTGATGGCCTTGTCTAGAGACGGCTAGGTGGAATCGCGCTATGAGGTCATGCATGCGATCAGTTTGAAACGACACACCGAGGTTGGAATCTTACCTCTGTCTTCGAGTTCGTGGGGACACGAGCCGGGATCGTGCTGTGACAGTGGAACCGATGTGGTGCCATGGTGTCCCTCGGAACGACACGGGTCCGAAGCGGTTGTCAAGACACCCGACGGAAGGAGAACCGATGCGCCTGCGTGGGCGTCCGGCGGGGGCGCGCCACCACCAACGCCCACCAGCGGCTGGCAGACGTTGGAGTCAGCGGCCACGTCGGAAACCGAGGCGAGACCATCGCAGCCAGCCAACGGACGCTTCGTCTACAAAACGCACGCAAATGTATGGTCAATGGTTCAACGAGACAGAACCCAGGCAAGTCGCTATGCGTACGTTCACGTGCCCATAAAACTGCTCATCGTCTGATCCAAAGCATCACGGATGGTGGCGACGTTGGCGGCGATCGAATCGTGTCGGTTGCCATTCACCATGTTGGTGAAACGCCTCGTCTGTGTAAAGCGACTTGGTGAATGCAGACATCCCAACTTTCCGCGATGTACACTGCGTCCACATTCAACGCCAGACATCACCTTCATTGCAACGGGACAGCTTTTCGACTGCCACGCACCACAAAGAAGACTGGGTTTTGCCCACGTGGACGCCTCACATTCGCCCCAGTTGGCATTAAAGTTGCCTTCAAGCGCGGTTGCTTCCTCGTTTGGCAGAAATCACCCACTCGCACTACACAACACGTTGCGTGACACCCAAAACCGCCACACACACTCACACACCCAAACATTCTCCTCTTCTGGTAATTGGGCTCAGTGTTTAGCTGGTTATTGTTGAGCCACGTGCTATGATAGACAGGTGGTTGGTGTTGAGGTGTCGTGCTGTGTTACTAAAACCATGAATCAAATGACAATGCCGATCGACGCGCCCTCGTGACCCGGTGTGTAATCGTGACTGGAAGCGGTGGTCAGAAGTGACCTCTACCCATTGGTCACAGCGTGCAAACGTGCGACTGGCTGGCATTTGTCACGTCACACACTTGCACGACCGATGTCATGTTGGCAGCACAGAACACTTGTTCGTCGATCCACCTCACGCCCTGCACCGGCGTCATGTGATGAACCTTCGGTCAACATGTTGCGCCGTGGAATGGACCTGGATGAAATTGTTTTTTGTTCAGAACCTGCTACAGACAATGCTGGTGATAGAGGACGTTGCACCAGCGCCGTCGCAACTGCCTCCCGCCTCCGCCTCCACGTAGAAGTGTGATTGGTGATTGATTTGCCTGACGACAGAGTGTGTCACCTGATGTCAACGACGA